TCTAGTATTTATTTATTTTTTTTTTTAAATAATTTTTATTGTTATGTTAATCACCATACATTACATCATTAGTTTTTGATGTCATTTCTCTAGTATTTAAAACCAGGGAAATGTAAAAAATAAGGTAAAATACAGAAGTCTTTCTGTGTCCCTAGTCTAGAATGGTGGATTTTCCTTCTACGGGTTTTAATGGATCCATCAATAAAATAAATTGATGATGACAGAGTTCGAGGAAAAATGAAATTTCTAAATAATATAAATAGCTATATGACAACATATAGATTAACTCTGTCTTTCCTGTTTGCCAAATCTTCTTATTGCTAATAATCATTGCAACACAAATTGAGTGATTTGTTTCCTAAAAAGTCATGGCCATACATATTTGTTTCCCAAATAATATGATGACTTGCTCAAAGAAAACCAAACTAAATCATCTTATAACCTGACACTTGTCTATAAATTAATGTATGTTTAAAAAGGAAAAATAAAATAAGATGAAAACAGAGAGAGTGGCAAACTATAAGAGACTCTTAACTCTAGGAACCAAACTGAGTGTTGCTGGAGGGGAGGTGGGTGGGGAAATGGGGTAACTGGGTGATAGGCATTAAGGAGGGCACCTGATGTAATGAGCACTGGGTGTAATATGTAACTGATGAATCACTAAATTCTACCCCTGAAACTAATAATACACTATATGTTAACTAAATTGAATTTAAATTTTTTTTTAAAAAGGATAAATATAAATATTTTCCCTAATCTGTTTTTTAATAAGAGGCAGTTTTCCTGCAAAAGGTGGGTACAACTCATAAAGGGTTAAGGGAATTGGGATAGTACAAGCAAATGGAAGGACATGTATTTATTTATAAAGACAATAAACACTACAGTTTGCCTGGAACATAGAGTACATTTTGAGGGCATACTGCAAAATAAAAAAAGAAAAAAGCAGGTGTGATTTATCTTACAAGTATATCTAAAATAATACATGTTGGAATTTAAATGTTTTAAGTGTTAATGTTGCGCTCACTAAAGAAACTAAAATTATGTTAAAGTTTACTTTTGTGATATGAATAACAACTAGCAATCTATTGAAATTTTAAGTTCATATATTTGTACAGTTTCTTGCTTAAATCTTGGGATAATTATAACTAGGAATGTTTTGTCATAAAAACAAGAGACTTGGAAAATCTTTATACCCTTAAGGTGCATGCTTAGAGAATAAGCTCACAAGTCTCAGCAATAAAGCAAGGCTTAAATTAAATATTCTCCTAAATTATTCAATTAACTGGAAATACCTCACAGATACTTGTAAACAAAATAGTTTAAATAATATAACATGTCTTAATTTGAAATTTGATCAGGAGGCAAGAAGGCTTTACAGCATCAGTGTTTCAATAAATTAAACACATATAGAAAGTTTATAAGGAAAAATCATATAAACCTTGATTGTCATTTTGGTGAGGCATCACTTGGTAATAATATGGTATCGATACTTTAATTCAGACGAGTGGGGAATTTAAAAACATGTAAATACTATGGAAAAGTTGCCAGTGACTATTATAAACACTATAATTTAGTTGGTGTTTTAATATGATCTTGTTATTCTCAGATCTCACCATCTAAAATGTCAGGAAAAAGAAAGTGATTTAGGTTGCAGCTGGAGAAAATTAAGTAACAAAATAAAACATACAGGGTTTTATTCCAGTTAAGAAATTAATAGCAATAAGCAAAAAGTTATGGGAATTCCTCCCTGGAGATGTTTAAGAGCAAGATAAATATCCATCTGCCTAGAATAGTTTTAGTGTGGCTTGCCTGGAGGAAGAGGAATAAGATCTGCTAATTTGCAAAATTTTCACAGCATCAGTTTCATATCATCAAGTTGCTGCCTTGAGCATATTTAGCCAATCCACAAGATTAGAGTAAGTGCTTCCAGGGAAAATCTTCTGATAACTGGAATTTGCTCTGAATAAGGCCTGAATGTGGTAAATCCAATAAACCTGTTACAGTGCACCAGACTGGGCATTTAGACAGCTCTACACAAAATATCGTCGTATTGTCGTAATGCAGTAAAGAACATATTTCTTCTGTCTAGACTTCTTTTTTCTCTTTTATTCTCTGAATGAGTTGGAACAGTAGACATCCGCCATGCAAGATTATCCAAACTGTAAATGCATACAGTGGAATGATAAATAGGACAGAGTACTGTACCTCTCCTTCCCACGCTGAATATTAATAATGTTAATTTTTGAGTTGTTTTATTGAGTCATTACCTGATGACTGATGGTTACCTTGAATAATAATACGGATTAAAATTTACCCTCAGTTCTAACATATTTTACCAGACATCTTCTTAACTTTTAATGGTTAAACTAATCTTCATACAAAGCCCCATGAAACTGCTATTTTTTTTTTTTTGGAACAATGTAGTTTGAACTATGTTTCAATTATAGAAACATGCATTTTAACTGTAAAATTCTATAAAATTGTAGCTTTGATCCTAATTAATTAAATAAACCTATAAATGCACTGTGGTATTTCAATGTTGCTCTAAAGGTCTTTGACATTGTTATGTGGAAGGCAGCGAGAATAGTGGAAATCGATTCTAACTTTGCATTGATTCTTTAATAGATTTTAACTTCCTCAATCCACCCTTGTCTGTTGCGACTCACCAACACATAACATGAATCAATATCCTTGAATCCTTGAAGATTCCTTTAGATTTTTTTTCAGGAACTCTTTTCTACGATTCCCTGATGACCTCAAGCCATATTTTTTATCTCTTTCCTCAGGACCTGTAGCATGTAATACCTTGCTTATAAACCAAGGTCTGGCGTATATTTAGTACTTTCTGCTATACTTTCTTTTTCCACTTATTAGCCCCATGTCCAATTGACCCATCCTAGACACGGATCTACCCTAACCATGCCCAATATTGCAAACTACTTCATGTTCTACTTTCCTAAATCTTTACTACACCTTTTTAAGGGCTAACTTCTAGTAGTTGATTAGTGAATACTTACAGAATGAAATAATACACTCCATTTTATAGCATTTTACTAAAAGGCCTTTCACATATCTTCTTTCCCTAATAACCACATCGAACCCAAGCAATTATATCCATTTTACAGAAGTGAAACTAAGACTCAATGGAGTTTACTGATTTGTCATACCTACAAATACAGTAAGTAGCGAGATTCCAAGACTCTAGTCCTAAACCCATCTCTCTGTATACATATTAACTGCCCTTAAATTTGGAGGGAAAATGATGCATATAGGGGAAGAAAAAGATTTTCAAGATCCTGCTAAATCATATATCGCATTCTTCATAGCACACTGGCAAGCATCTCACTTTTCTTTTTATCTCTAAACTTCTAAAATCACAGTCTTTAAGGATAAATAAAGAGGACATAAGGAGGAATCCCATCATGACTAGTATCCCATTGCCAAATGTATCCTTAAATATGGAAGATGGGCTACTTATAGACTTGGATTCCCTGAATATCTTTACTAAGAAGATTAAAAGCCACCTGTTTTAAGGATTTAGAGATAATACTATTGTAAGATTGCAAGTGGCATTCCCAGAGGGTGGTCAACTATAGCCATGATTATCCTTTTAAGTGACATACAGGCAACTTGAGTAGGTGCTGTATTGCGATCTTCATATAGTTCTGACCAGACATAGGATACAAAGGTAGTTTTGAACACCTTACATCTCAGAATCTGCCTGAAGACCTCCTCAAACCCTAGCAAGAGCAGATAAAAAGAAAGCAAATAAAATCCTAACATGCAAACATTCATGAAAACCTAGGGCCAGAATTTTAAGGGCTCCACACATTTATATCTAGAAGTCTATATTTTTCTGTCCTTACTTGTACATTTAGAAAGCACAAATTTAACGCAAAAATCATTTACACTGAGAAGATGCAGAGGCCAAAACTTGCAGCTTTATAAACAGTCATCCTCTTTGACGACGGAAAACATCTGTCTCACTCTTCCTACTGGAAAAATAATGTTGTATCCCACCATGGAGAATGCCGAATATAAGTTAATTCTTGAAAAGTGCCTGCATTGTTTATCACTCGCTAAGAAATATTGAATTCCTGATAGTTAATCTCAGCACACAGAGGCTTTTTTCCCCCTACATTCCAAAGTAATGTAAAAGCTACGGACAACACTTTATGTCCTAGCATTTGCAGTCAATCAAAAACAATCATTTTCAAAGGCTTGTGTAGTATTTTAGAATTTATAAGATATATATTGACAAAATTAGGATTGTTACTGAAATCTTAAATCTGATATGTATCTTCAAAGCAATAGGCACTTGCAAAAAAACACTTCTACACAAGACACTGGATTTATAAAAGGAAAATTCAGAAACATGGTTTCCTTTACTTCATGCTTTTTTTTCTTTTTAAAGAGGGCTATACACATATTCTTTCATAAAGATATGAGGGGAAAATATGTAAGAAAAATACTCACACAAAGGGAAAGATATAATTTTCTCATTCTCACACTTTTGGCATGTAATGAAAACAGTGATCTAAAAGGGATAAAAACAAAAACAAGAACCCTACAGCTCCAGGCATCTCTAACAAGAAAATATTATCTACTCTTTCTAGAAAAAAATAGTTTATATTCTTCATTTCCAGTAAACACTGATAACAACAGAAAAGGGAGTTATTGATGTAAGTTGACAGTAAAAATGAAGAAAATACGCTGTAAATACCTTTTAATCAAATCCTTTCTTGAGATTTCACAAGATTAATCACAAAGTTTGAAGAATGAATTTGATAACAACTTCAGACGCAAGACATCTTTTACATGAGAATTTCTCCAGATAGCTTGTGAGAGCTATTTAAGACTTATTGTTACAAGCTTTCCTAAGCAAGCATAAAGATAAATAGGGCTTTCATTTTTTTTTTCTGACACATTATTCAATATAAATTTAATGTTGAAAATAGATAACTTTAAAACAACAGTATAAGTTAGAAAAAAATACTTACAGATTTTTAATGTCAACTGCCCCACGGAAAGCCTTCCTTGGAATTGCCTGAATTTGATTTTCACTGAGATCACTGAAAATGACAAAAAAGGAAAAGGTCAAGTTATAAAATATCATTTAAAATTATTTTAATCAATGTGCTTGACAAATAATAAAACACCTCTTAAAATACCTGAAAAATACTACCAGGATCATAATTAAATCCATATCATCAGATGCAATTTCTAATACAAATAATTTATATTCATAATATAGATTAAAGGTTGAACTAAGTGGTTTCTTGAAGTACTTTTCCAGATCTTTAATTTCATAATAAATTATAAAATATGATTCTCTTAAATTTGAGTTAATTCAATTCTGTGTTATACACTATTCCTTTAAAACCCCAAAAACAAAAAACCCAAAAAACAAAAAGCAGACAAAAAAATAGTAAATTGTTCATAACTCAATTTCAAGGGGTTCTTAAGTTTTAGTACTTCATATTTCTCCAACATCACTGGCATAACTTACAAAGTATATACGAAAGAAGTCCATTTTAACATCCTAGAGAAGAGCAGCCAAAAACTGATAAAACCTAGGCAGCATGATTAAGTTTTTGCAGCACTTTAAGTAATGTTGAAAATGGAACATGGCAGCCCAACAATAAAAGCAACAGTTCTTGCATGAAATATTAACAGCAGGTTGATTTAAAACCTTCTTTAAATAATTCCATTAAAACCATAAACACAGACTGTCTATATTTGCATTTTAATTTAATTGAGAAATACATTTTAATCAAGGGGGAAAAAAGCACTCTTTCAGTTGGAATAAGAAGTTTGTAAAAATCACTCATCTCATGAAATGGATCGTTATTTTTCCCTCAGAGTTCAGGCAAATTCAATGAGCTTACATAGTATTAGCCTTAACAAGTAGGATATAAATATACATGCAGGAAATGTAACTGAAAACAGAGAAATGCTCATCTAATTTTAAGTCACACTACCACACAGCAGAACGTTGAAATATCAAATAAATAAATTATTACAGTCACAATGATGGTGCTAAAATTATCTTTAAAATTCTAAGATGCTCATTAAGAAAGATGGAACTACTAACCACGGGTGCTTAGCTGATGAAAACAGAGCCATTTTCCAATTATGTGGAAGTGTATGGGATGGATTCATCCACATCCTCTCCCCTAACGCTTCTTATGACCAGAGCTTGTTGTTCATATACTTGTGGTCACGCAATAGAGATAACTGGCAGATAGAGAGATTTAGTGTGTGGTCCTGACCTCATTAGCACCAAGTTTTAAACAACTGGGATTTGCATTCATATCTCAATATTCTCAACGTCCAAATAAAAAATGTTTGCTAAGCAATTTGTAAAGAAATAAATGTTCGTCTATTTAAGGGGTAAAGGTCTCTAAGGAAAAAAAAAGCAAAACACACATATTTTATTTCAAACAGTAAATTTATAATATGTGCTTATGTAGGAGTTAAGGCAGTCATCCCGTTTCCTAAGTGCTGTAGCTCCGTTACTGCTTTCAGTAGTTTCAGTATATACCTAAAAGTAATAAAACTTCATTTCCTTAAAAATTGCTTATTTCTCCAGCTTGTCATTGATTCAGACTGACTTCCTTCCCTTAATTGCATCATGTTAAGAATGTTTAACAGTGTATATTTAACGGCCTTGATGCTGGAAAAGTGTTGAAAGGAGGCTACCGAGCAAGGAGAAAGTAAAGAAAAACACTGGTAAAAAGAAAAACCAGAACGTAATACAAATGAGGAGGGAAAAAACATTGAACCCAAGCAAATTTGAATCTGCAATGCGCCATGAAAACCAACAGTGGTGTTGTTACTGCTGTCTCTGTCAATTCAATGTTTTCTCATCACTTAAGTTTCTCTATTTCTCCTAAGACAAAGACTGCCTTGGAGGTTGTAGGTGAATAAAAATGGCAGAGCTGTTTCTTCAGATCTTGCCAGCTTTCTAGGCTCTGCAGTCTTCCCATCCAGCTGGCTGGGGCCATTCCATTTGCCACCTACAATCTCAGCTCTACTCAGTCTCCATGCACAGTTTTTCCTAGGGTCGTGTTCTCAATGGGGAGATGCTGGGATGGGAGGAAAGTCAGAGGGATGATATTAGGTGGTTCATAGAGATATCACTGAAGAAAGTGAAATGCACAGTCAGAAGACCATTCCTTCTAAAATGGATTTTAGTAGAAGCTTCTGAGTCCCATAGGCAGAATTCTAGAACGTGGAAGAGTTTTATACTGCTAACACTTACCGATCTTTTCCTTTTATGGAAGAATGAGAAACTGTCAACTGCCAATCTCAGTGCCTCTTTACTCCCCTAGGTCAATGGTTTATGTGTGGCTGCCCCCCGACTAGATTGCTTCCCAGACTAGTTTACAGGTTCTCTGCATTTGTGTCCAGTCCACCAGGGCGGGCAACTTCAATTCTGGATCACAGGCCCCTTCAGTTAAGTAGACCATGTTCATCAATGACAGGAGAAAGAAACGTAACACATTTTCAGCACCTACAGTACGCAATAGTTAATTTTTTATAAATAATATATTATCAAATATGATCTGTATTTCCTTTAATCCCCATAACCATCTTGCCACGTAGGTAACATTATCCTGGTTTTATAGGAAAGGAAATTAAGCTTCAGAAATGTAAGGTATTATTTCTAAACAACAAGATAAATGGTTTAAGTAAATATATAAGAAATACGGATAAATACTGAGTCAGGATTTGAGGAATTCTAAAGATGACACAAGGGGCTACTTAATCAATCTCAATATGTCCTTCCTGAGCCCCAGAACTTAAAAGGCTTTTCCTTAACTTATCCTAGCCTCTGATTTATGTCCTTTGCAAAATGATGGATTGGACTGTGTTAGAAATGACTCATTTTCTATATATAATCAGGGGGAGGTTACCAGTTATTTCAATCCAACATATATTCATTTTTAAGATCTACTACATGCAAGGCACTGGCTGATGTTGCAGGATTGCTGAGCTGGGGTAAGGCCTATTTCCTGGCTTCAGGAATTTTCAAATCCAGTAAAGAAGATAAGCAAGTAGCCAAACAGAAGGCCAACTGAGAGATTTAAACAAATTATCATGAGTCTACAAAAGCAAGACAGCACACTAAGAAAAAAGGTAATGTGAATGTGTCCAGATGTAAAGGCGAAGGAGTGGAGGACAGCACTTCTAGTGAAATAAATGTCACAAGTGAAATATGGAGGGGAAAAAATAGAACTTTTCATGAGAGTATCCTTTGGTCTGATTTGCTTAGAAGGTGCAACATCTACAGTAGAGTAATAGGAGGGGTGGTCAGAAGATTAAGTCAAAGGTGTGATGAGTATAATTTTTGGTACCAATTGAGAAGTGCATTCTAATTTCAGCACACAATAGTGGGGAGGGAAGGGTGGTAGACAGGATCAGGACAGAGGCTGTACCTCAGATAAACCAAACTGGCAATGGGATTTAGGAAGAATACGTGGAGTCAAAGACTTGAGTCTTTAAGACCAGATACAAGACTTCTATGATAGTTGGGGAAAGGGTAGTGAGAATATCAAGCGATAAAACAACCAACAATATATCACTTGCTTACCATGGGCCAGTTAATAACTGCAGCATCTCCTACTCTATAGATAGAAAAGGTGGAGAATATTAAGAGTGGTATCAGGGATGCATGAAAAAACAAAACTCAGAAGTAGATCGTAGGTGGATATGGATTCAGCAAGGGAGAGAAAGGAGACAGAAGTTACTTTGAACTTAGATTAAAGGTAGTGTTAATAAAATTGGGAAATCAGAAGAGCCATTTGCAGTGTTCATTATGAGTTTGGTTCGGGAAGTTTTTCAATCCAGTTAGAAAGATGTGATATATCACATAGTTTGGTGACAACAAAGATAGTATATGCTCAGTAAAACATGCGTGGTAGCTGAGAAAGGTGATCTAGAAGATCAAAGAAGTAAGTCACTGGAGGTTAGATGGATCCAGGCCACTTTCAAAACAGAATGGGATTTTTTTTGGACCTTGATGAAAATAACAGAGCTCAGTAATTCTCAGCCTTCAGTATTGGAGACGGGGATGGTAGAAAGTGGTTGGCTGGAATCCAAGGAGAGAGCCAGAATGTCAAAGGATTTAAGAGCATAGAGTGCAGACCTAGACTATCTGTCATTTATTAACCACATGCCCTTGGAAGAACTGCTTACCCTTCTGTGCCTCAGTTTCTTCATCTGCAAATGGAATAATGATAATGTTACTGCATAGGACTATATGGTAAATTCAATGAGTCCATACTTTTATTTTTTAATTTTTCTAAAGACTCCATTTATTTATCAGAGGGGGCGGTTCATGAGTTGGGAAGAAAGCAGATGAAGAAGCAGGCTCCATGTTGAGCAGGGAGCCCAATGCAGGGCTCGATCCCAGGACTCTGGAATCATGACCTGAGCCGAAGGCAGACCCTTAACTGACAGAGCCACCAGGGGCCCCAAGTTTATACTTTTAAAATGCTCATAAAAAATGCTCAAAAAGTACCTGCACATAGTAAGCACCACAGAGGTATTGGTCATATACATGATACAACTGTTTTACTCAGAGACTGTTATGTGCCCCTGAGTGTACTACTTTGTTCTTGAAGACCACTGCAGGTGATGTGAGACATTACTGATGGGAGTGTGCTGTTCTGTGAACTGTGTGGAATGAGAAAAATGAGTCAGAACTACTGAGTTAGCAGGATGGAGCTGCCAAGGGAAGAGTTTGTAATTATATCACTAGGCAGTAGAGTGTAAAAATGTGTTTCAGAGTAGGAAAATGGCTTGACTGGAGTCAATTTTTAGGAAGATTAATCTGGAAATTGAATTTTGAAGCAGGCAGGGACAATGGGCAGAGAACTGGTATTGGGCAGTGTTGGTGGAGAGAGACTGTGGGTCTCTAGTTAACTAGAAAATTCTTTTTGGTGAATATTAAGTAATAAACTTGAGTTTGGCTCAGGTCCATATATAAGGTCCTCAATGCAAGTTAAGGTTATTTTCATCTCAGGGAGAGATGATTTTCTGATTAAGAAAATAAAATACAAAAGTG